CTGAGTCATGCTTCAACAGGGAAGTGCATGTGGTCACAGATGGCATCTGTGACCTTCTTAACAACAGGCTTGCCTGCCAAGGTTCCCCGAGTCCAGGCTCTGCAGGGAATTTGGAAACTGTAGCCTTACACTAGAATATTTTCCGGCAAACACATTTAACTATTTATTTGTCAGTTTCCTAATTTAAACTGGGGAAATGGAATCAGCTAAAGAGAATTCCCAGCACCTGGAACGTACCCTGTTGGGGCCTACTGGCAAAGGTCTGCCAGAACTGTCATCATCATCATCATGGCGGGACCTCAAGTCTGGGCCAAGAGCATATCACTTAAAGAAGAAAGGTTAGTTTGGCTTGGGGTTCCAGAGGGAGACTCCATAGTGGCCAGGGAAGTATGGCATGCAGGTGTGAAGTTGGCTGGTTACATTTTTCACACATGCATAGGAAACAGAGACATCAAATAGGACATGAGATGAGTTTGTCAAGACTTTGGGGTTTTTTTTTGGTTTTTTGAGACAGATTTTCTCTGTATAGACCCAGCTGTCCTGAAACTCAATCTGTAGACCAGGCTGGCCTTGAACTTAGAGCTCTCTTGTGGACTATTACTTTAACTATGTAAAGATGTGTTACATTTATTCATGTAACTATATGAAGGTACGTTACATTTGTTTACTCTGCATTTGTTTAATAAGGATGTGTTGCTGAACCTGCCTACAGTACCTGATTGATCTAACAAAAAGCTGAGTGGCTAATAGTTAGGCAGTAGAGGTATAGGTGGGGCTGGTAGACAGAGAAAATAAGTATAAGGGGAAATCTAAGCTTAAGAGAGTAAGGGAGGGGAGAACGATAGAAAAAAGAGGGAGACACCTGGGGCCAGCTAGACAGACAAGGAGTAGACACACAGAATGAAAGAAAGCTAAAAAGCCCCAAGACAAAATGTAGATGAAGAGAAGAGGTTAAATGAAATTATAAGAGCTACAGGGACAAGCACAGATAAGGCTAAACATTCATAACTAATAATAAGTCTATGTGTCATGATTTGGGGCTGGTGGTCCGAGGAAGCCTGTTACAAAGATCTGTCTGCCTCTGCCTCCAAGTGCCCACCATAATGTCCTGGCCCAACCCAGAAGGCATCTGTCAATCCAATCAAATCAACAATCAAGATCAACTATCACAGGGGGTGTCTGTTTTCTTCTGAACTCTGTGCAAGACACTGAAGACTCAAACAAGACAGGTTGTTGTATCCAGGAAGCTTATTGTTTAAACAAATAGACAGATAAACACATACAGAGAAAGCAGAACTTGGCTAAGTGTGTTCCTGAAACAACAGTGAGTAAACGATCTAGGCAAAAACTGGCTTGGTGTTTGCACATTTTTAAGTGAAGATAATATAGCTGGAAGAGAGTGACTAAAATGAAGAGGAAATATGAGTTGACACAAGAATCACATCCACACACAGCCTTGCAGGCTTTGGTAAGGAAGCAGGACTTAACCCAAGTCTGACAGGAAACAAAAGCAATACCATCTTCTTCATGCATTAGTATGCCCCTGTGTGGAAACTAGACGGGGTTAGCCAGACTGACAAGACATTCTTGTTAGCTCTTGCTGCTTTCCAGGGCTATTTTCAGTAGGCAGAATGTGTCATAAAGTAATTACAATGGGATTCAAGGAGGAGAAGACAACGAAGGATGCTGCAAATGAGTGCACATTGTTGAAATTGTGTGGCATATCACATATCTCTCCCCCCCTAAACATTCTTTTTTATTTTTAAATTCTCTGGGTATAGATGTTTTGTCTGCATATGTGTGTAACACTTGCATACCAAGTGTCCAGGGAGACTAGAATTGGACTTTGGATCTCCTGGGACTGGAGTTGCAGACAGTTGTGAGCCACCATATAGGTGCTAGGACTCAAATGGAGGTGTTCTAGAAGACCAGCTAGTCCTCTTATCTGAGCCACCTCTCCCATCTGTTATTTGATTCGTGTTGATATTCTCCTAGAATTCTCATCCTTATAAAAGATTGTGTACTATAAGAGTAGTTCCAGGTATCTGATTCAGAGACTTGGGATTGTGTTCAGTGAGGAGCTAGCCCAAGGATGTCTGATCTACACTATAACATGAAATCCTCTCGGTGCGAATTACATCTCCTGAAGCAGCAAGAGTGAGAGAAACTAGTCTTCTTTGGATATATGTCCTGCCACAGAGTTGTCTGGGTCAGACAGAGAGCCGAACAGAAGCTGTTTGATAAGACATAGCATAGAATAATCCATATAGCAAAGACTAAGCTGAAAGTTGATTGGTCGGTTGTTTACTGGAAGCTTGACCTTTATTGGCTACTGCTCTGTCCACTGATCTGAAAGCTGTGAAGCATAGGATGCCATCTGCTCTGTCCAGAGATTCTAGTTCAACAACTGTTACTGAATCCAGTACTTGTGAAGAAAACTACTATTAATGTAAAAGGCAAGCCATGTCACTGTAGACAGAGTAAACAGGACTGAACTCACTGACAGGATGTAATGAAAGAGTTTGAAAACCTTTTTCCTTTTTCCTGTGATGATCATGAACCATATTTAAGAACAGTCCATTTTGGGGGCTGGCAAGATGTTTCAGTTGACAAAGTGCCTGCTGGGTAAGCACAAGCTTAAAGTTTAGCTCCCATAATCCACACAAAAGCTGGGGGGCATGGGGGGGCTGGAGAGATGGCTCAGTGGATAAGGGCACTGACCGCCCTTCAGAGGAGCTGGGTTCAATCCCCAGCACCCTCATGTAGTTCACAACCATCAGTAACTCCAGCCCCATGTCCTCTTCTACCCTCAGCAGGCACTGCGTAGACATGGTACACAGATACACATACGTGCAAAAATTCAGACCTGTGAAATGTATATGAAATCTAAAAAAAAAAAAAAATCAGTTTGGCATAGTAGTGTATGCCTGTGATCTTATCACTGAGGTGGAGACAGGAATAGCCAGCCAGTCTCGCTGAATCAGTGAGCTGGTTCAGTGGGGGACCCTGTCTCAAAAATAAGGTACGGAGTGACTGAAAAGAGTACCTGACATTATTAGCCTCTAGACTCCATATGGACATGCACACATGTGTACATTCACCTGCATATATGTACACACACACACACACACACACACACACACACACACACTCCATCTAGACACAGACATTACCCCCTCCACACACACACACCACACAAAAAGCAGCTCATCTGGGCTGGTGCTGTGGCTCAACTGGTAGAGTGCTTGCCTAGTTAGCATGCACAGATTTCTGGGTTGGATCCCCGACACCACATGACTTGGTATAAAGGTGCATGCCTATAACCCCAGCACTCATGAGGCAGAAACAAGAGGATTTTGGTTACATAGTTTGAGGTCAACTTGGCCAACCTAAGACCAAGAAAAGGAGATGGGAGAGAGACAGGAAACAAAAGTGGCACACTGTGTATCGGTCAATTATTGCTGCTCAGGTTACCTCCTCTTGGACCTCCACCTACCCACCTGTGGACCTGCACAGCAACCTTCAGACCACAGCTTGCCACTGGTTTAACCAGCGTTCTCGAGGACACCAACAGCCATGTGAATGGAATGGAACCCTGCTGTGCTACTCAGGTTGGAGGCACTGCCAACTTGCCTTGCTATAAACCAGCGTTTCTCAACCCTCCTAGCCCTTTGACCCTTCAGTACAGTGCTTCATGTGGTGGTGACCCCCAACCGTAAAATTGTTTTTGTTGCTACTTCATAACCGTGATTTTGCTACTTTTATGAATCATAATGTATTGTCTGATATGCAGGATATCTGATATGCGACCCCTGTGAAAGGGTCATTCAAACCCCAAAGGGGTCGTGACCCACATGTTGAGAACCACTGCTATAGATGACGTGAGCAGAGTGCTTACCTCACCATGTGAGTTTGGACCTGTCTTTAAGTAGTGTGCTTCAACTGTTTTGCTCTTCAAAGCAAAGGGAATAAAGTCTTGCCTGATTAACCACAATGGAAATGGTTACATTTCCTGTCATCATGCATCAGCAAGCCATGGAGGAACACTGAAACTCCATCTCAAACTCTTCTCATGAAATCAAGTTTTATTAGGAAAACAGCATAACAACGGAACCACCCAATGAGAACATTGGAAACCTTTATCTCCATCAGTTGTCAAATACCCACAAGGCTGCTGAGTAACTCTCTCCACCACCCAGCTCGCCCCATTAGTGCCTTACAACTTTAATTAGCTCACCAAATGGGCAGAATACCAGAATACGGTATGGTGTGCTTCAAACTTCTCTTGTGATTGTTTTATCAGTCTTACTAATGAATGCTCCGGAGACTTGACTCTGAGAGATGGCCTTTGTGTTGGATAATCTCTGTTTCCTCCACAACACTTGGTGTCACACTAAGTGTCAGGATGGGCAGCTGCCCCCTTCTCCAGCGTGAGGTTGTGGGTGGGATGTAGCTGACCTCCCCTTCCCCCTGAGAATCCATGTCTGAGCTCATTGATCTCACATTGTATGTGAGGAAGGAAAGCCATTCTCAGGCTGAAGGGAGAGGACTCCAGGGTGCCAAGGGCACCCAAGAGGAAGAAAGTCTGCAACCTTGAAACACCCCATAAGCAGGCTAACCCACAGAACAACATTTTGCCCTTTATATGAAGAAAGGCATTCTTTGGTTGTGTAAAGAAAAAAAGAAAGAAACTTGAATTGGGGATTTAATGTCTTATTATAGCATCTAGTTAACATCAATTGACTAAGACAGAGTATGTGTGGGGGGACTAGCAAACAGTGATAGATAGCAGATGACCCCAGCCTTGATGTCTGATCTGAGGTCAGCATGCCCAGCACAGCTCAGAGTATTAACATTTTACTAACGAAGGTCAGGCTCTGCTTGAAGGAACATTCTAGGGCTAACATGGAGGATGGGGAGACAGTTTAGAGTAACTGTCACTTTTCCAAGCACTATATCTTGAGTGGAACATGGTTACTTCCTTGAGAGAGGGAGCTTACCTTTTTAGACAAGTGGAAGCCATATGGGCCACAATCAAGAACCTGAGAGTAAAAGAGAAAAATGCAAGAAGATGGGAGAATGGGATTTTCCTGCCATTATATTCCAGCAGAGCTTGACATAAAAGCATGGATTCTAGCCACAGATGAGAACACCTTTGTGGGAGTCCATATGCCCAGAGGGAATTTCCACCACTTCACTGAAGTGAGAGACTCAACAGCAGATGCATTGAAAGGCCAGAAAGTAGGCTGGAGAGATGGCTCAGTAGTTAAGAGCACTGGCTGCTCTTCCAGAGGACCCACATGGCACCTCACAATGATCTGTAATTCCAATTCCAGGAGACCACACACCCATGGAAAAACACCAATCCACATCAAATAAAAATAATTAATTTTTTTAAAAATTGCAATAAAAAAGGCCGGAAAGCTCCATTTCACTTGCACCATGTCACAGCCAAGGCAGCAGAGCTCAGAGCCAAGAGAGATCTCAGTCTGGGTTCTTCCTCATGGGGAAGTAGATGGCAGTGAGTGAACCTCTGGCTCCTCCTACCACGCCAGATACCACCCAAGAGCTCTTTGTTTCCTAGCTTTACCCAGAATCCTGGAGTGATTAGAGTGTTAGGTGCTGAGGGGGATCAGGGCCAAGGAGCAGAGGCAAGAAGAGCTCAAGCCAGTCAGAGCCCAGAGCTCAGTAAGAATCATGTCCTGCTTCCCACTCCAGGCCACTCACCCAGCTCACATGTACCTCACTATTCCTCATGCTCACCCTCCCCAGCCAGCATCCGTCTGCTCCACAGATGCAAAATGCTCAGAGGGAGGAGATGCCGGGGTTCTACATAATGCTCATTGTGCACACACAAACACACACAAACACACACGCACACACACGCGCTCACGTACCCACACATATGGGTATACTGTACACAAATTCACACATACACACACCACACACATAGCACACATGCACACAAACATATACACATACATACTACACACACATACACATGCACATATACCAGTGTACACACACCTAACACAAACACACACCCAACACAGACACTGTCTGTCTCTGTCTCTCTCTTCTCTTTCTCTTCTCCCTCTTCTCTTCTCTTCTCTTCTCTTCTCTTCTCTTCTCTTCTCTTCTCTTCTCTTCTCTTCTCTTCTCTTCTCTTCTCTTCTCTCACACACACACACACACACACACAAACACACACACACACACACACACAGAGCTATGTGAAACAACTGATTAACAATGTCACAGTAATCATGTCATAGTACAAATACTTATCAAAGCATCCTGTTGAATAGCATAGTACACACACTTTGCATTCACCAGTCTACCTCAGTTACATAGGGAAAAGGACCTGAAAGGGCTGGGCTTGGAGGAAATGATGATGAACTAACCTTTGCCATCTGCGGCCTCTTGGGAACCAGCCTGGCCCGGTAGAGTGATGGAGGCAGAGCTACCCAGCAATGGTGTCCTAAAGAAAGCCCATGGGAGAAACAAGTTACAGGCGGGTAGGCTCAGCAATCACACAGAGCCTAAAGATTTAATTTTCATTTGGTTTCTTAAGGTTCTATTACTTTTCTTCTCTTCCCACACCCCCACCCTCACCCCATATTCCCATTAAATCAACCCAAGCTGAATTTTTGCACAGTCTTTAGGGATTTGTTTGTGCTCTGATTTGTCATAAAAGGGTAACATTTTCATCTCTGCATGCAAAGCTCAAACATTAAGTTCATAATTACTTCAGCAGGATTTATGAGTGTTTCTCCAGGGAGTTGCTTTCAAAATAAGATAAGTGCTATGCACGGAATAAGAAAGATTACAGTAATTACATTGGTTTCCAAATAAAATTTAATGGCAGTGGGGTGATGTGGGGACTCACAGATGCTGTGTGCATCCTGTGAGACACATCTGTATCTCAGTTTCCCTGAACAAAGATATGACATTCCTTACCAGCAAGCTACAGCTTATTGGGAGAGATGGGCATTCTGCCTGGAATGGCCAAATTGATTGCCAGTCTGCACAATTTCATAACTAACTGCAGATCCTATGATTAAGGAAGGAGGGTCTCTAAATCCTAGGCACCTGGAACTATGAGGCAAGGAAGGGGTAGAGTGGAATTGAAATCAACCTAGAGAGTCCTGAAATGCTCTCACTGTCCATATATTTGGAACACAGACAATCCCACTCATCCTGCAGACAGGGGCTGGAAGCCCAACCTATGTCCTTCTCCTACCCCATGACAGCAACAGAATCATCATAGGCCATCAATTCTCCAAGTGCAGCTTCTGGGTAAAGCACCCACTGATTAATCTCTCAGTGGATTTGGGAGAGACAGTTCTGACAAAGACAGAGCACCAGTGTCCTGTAGGAATCACACCTTTGCTTTTCTTATACACACACACACACACACACACACACACACACACACACACACACACACACACACACACACACACATATATATAATCACCAAATATTATGGTATTGTGGTTTGGTTAGTTTTTAAAACATTATATGGAGGGGGGTTGGAGGTGGCTTAGCAGTTGAGAGTACTGGCTGTTCTTCCAGGGGACTAAGGTTCAATTCCTAGTACCCACATGGAAGCTTAAAACCATCTATAATTCCCATGCCAGGTAATTCGGTGCCCTCTTCTGGCCTCTGTATACTCTGGACATACAGGTAATACACAGTTATATATATAGAGAGACAAAACACCCATACAGACAAAAATTTTACATTATGTCATTAGAATTATAGGATACATATTTCTATAATGCAAAGAACTAAACTGAGAAAGGAAAAATACAAAAATGTAAAGTTTGAGAAGAAAAGGGCACCAGGAAATGTAATAGAGTTAAGTTCTGTGTTCAAGGAGATGAACAGATTAAAGAAAAACCTGATGCTAAATGGGAAAAAAAAGGAGTGACCTCAGGACAAGTCCCCACCCAGCTAACCTTTCCACTTGTGAAAAGGAATTAAAGAAAGGCTTAAGCAGTGAAGGAGGCCTTCAGAAACAGAAACCTGATGCAGACTAATTGAATGAAGGGACAATGTTCCAGCCTCAGCAAGCAGAAGTACTTGGCAGTTTTGGTCACATAGTTCTGGCTTTAGAGTCAAGGATTCAAGAAAGGGATTGTGGGATCTCCCTCCGTGGCTAATGAAAACTGCTGAGGACAGGCACGTGTCAGTGGTGTCCCTATATGGAGGCCTAGAGAGGCCTTTGTGTGAAGATGGGTTGCCTTGGAGACCCCAAGATGTTGGACATACCAGAATCAAGGGATTCCTGCTGAGGAGAGCTGCTAACAGGGAGTGGAACCAGCCCAAGAGAGAGAAGTGTGTTGTAGTCAACAGAGCTGAAAGGAGTTGGAGATCCAAAGAGTGCTTTGACATCAGACATGGAAATAGTTTGGAGTTTGCTCAGCTGTTTTCAGTCTTGCGTTGGTCCAGTGTTTCCTCACTATGCTCCCCTTTGGAATGGTAATGTATATTCTGTGCCATTGTGTGTTGGAAGTATGTGATCTGCTTTTTCATTTTTGTTTTAGAGGAGGTTATAGTGGAGATTCTGTCTTGAGTCTCAGAAAAGACTTGGGACTTTTGTTGTGTTTTTTGTTTTGTTTTGTTTTTAGAGACAGGGTAGCTCTGGCTGTCCTGGAACTCACTCTGTAGACCAGGATGGCCTCAAACCCACAAAGATCTGCCTGCCTCTGCCTCCTGAGTCCTGGGATTAATGGCATGTGCCACCACTGTCTGGCTGATGGACTTAGGACTTTTAAACAGTGTTGAGACTGTTAGAGAGTATGGCAGCTTTTGAAGTTGGACTGAATGCATTTTTGCATTCTGATATGGCTACAAGCCTGTGGGGGCCAGGGAGTGGAATGTGGTGGCTTGAATAGAATGGACTCTATAGGCTCATAGATTTGAAAGCTTGGTCATCAAGGAGTGGCACTATTAGGAGGTGTAGCCTTGGTGGTGGAAGTGTGTCACTGGGGGCTGGCTTTGAGTTTTCAACTGTGCAGTGGTCTCTCTTCTTCCTGCTGCCTGCAGATCTAAATGTAGAACTCCCAGCTTCTCCAACATCTTGTCTGCTTTAACATCACCATATCCCACCAGGCTAACCCAGACTAAACCTCTGAAACTGTAAGCCTACCCTAATTAAATGCTTTCCTTATAAGAATTGTTGTGGTCATGGTATCTCTTCATGACAACAGAACACTGGCTAAGATAGTGAGGGGATGTCAGGCATCCTCAGATTTTGGCACCTGAGGAGACTAAGAGACAGCTATAGAATGCATTTTATATTTGTCTTGTGTTCAGGGTTTTTTTTTTCCTATTCTGAACAGTGTTGCTAGGATTATGTTTATACATGTCTAGGTTTAAGAGTGGAGTGGAAAATGCATTTGAGATGACGGTTACTTGGGAATGAACTGGGTTGCTGAGCATCATTGATGCTAGATGAGACCACAACAATGTGCTTCCCTACCAGCGATTTGTGGGAGATCCCCACGTGCCACATCCTCACCAACACTTACGCATGATGTTCTTAACTCATCAGTCCTAGGTTTGGAAATGAAGTGAATTATGATTTTAATCTCCATATTGTATACAAAATAGCTACCAGCCCTTTGTGGGGACTCTGAGTTGAAAATGACTTGCTTTTGCTAACCTTCCTTGTGTGTACTAGATGGTATATTGGTTGGACAGACTATTTAATTGTAAGGCATCCAATTTATCTAACTTTTCCCTTGGAGCCAGTGCTCTTTGTATCTGTTTAAGAATGTTTTTTCTAGGACTAGTGGCTCAGCAGGTGTCTGACAACCCAAGTTAGGTTCCTAGAATCCATATAAACATGGAAAGAAAGAAATGACTCCACAAAGTTGTCCTCTGACCTCTACAAACATGCCCCACCTCATGTGCCATCATGCACACAATAGCAAAAATAAAGATCTCTCTCTAAAAAGAAAGAGAAATCTTTGCAATTGCCCAAGCCATCAAAATAGCCTCCATGTTTCCCTGTTACCAGGTATTTGACTCACTAGCTAGAGCTGGGAGCACAGCCTTTCGGTTACAGCACTTCTGTAAATCAAGCACCTGTTACAGGTACAGGCTTGTTTCTGGTCTATATTCTGTACTCCTTTGTTAAGTTTTACTTTTATTTTAAACTATGTGTGCGAGTGTCTGTGTGTGTGTGTGTGTGTGTGTGTGTGTGTGTGTGTGTGTGTGTGTGTGTGTGTGTGCTGTGCCTGTGGAGGACATGAGACAGTGTGAAACTCCTTGCAGGCAGTTTCAGATTGATGGTTAGGAACTGAACTCAGGTCCTCTGGAAGAGCAGTACATGCTCTTAACTGATGAGTCCTCTCTCCAGCCTCTGCTTGTTTCCATTCCACTGATCTGTTGCTCTGTTTCTGTGCCATACTACTATCCTAGCTTATTTATTGGCCTTCATTGTATCCTCCTCAGCTCCAGGGATATTTGCTATCTCTAGAGTAAACTCTCATATTTGATTTTTTTACTAAGAATATCTTGGCCATATCATAACACTTTTTTGTTTTCATATTAAGCTTTAGAATTGTCAACTTCTAAACAAAAGAAGCTATCAGAATTGCATTGGGTCTACAAATTAGGGGGAAATGACACCATTTTGCAATATTCAGTCTCCCAATCCATGAACATGGTTTATCTCTCCATATACTTAGATGTTTGTTTTCTCTCAGTAATTTATAGTTTTCTGAACAGCAGTAGACAGAAGTGACGGGAGCGATGGGAGTAGGGTGGAGGTGGGTGACCTGCCTATTGTGGGTGGTGCCGGGCTCCTAACTGGATAAATGGAGAAAGGGGACTAAGAACCAGCAGGCATTTATCCCTCTCTACTTCCTGATTGTGAATATGGTGTGAACAGTTGCCATCTGACTCCGCCAGCATAACTGAACCAGAGTAAACAAACTCTCTCTCTCTTGAGTTGCCTTAGTCAGAGCATTCAATCATAGCACTAGGAAAAGAAGCAGAGGCAGTACTCTTTAGAGCATTAACAATTTCCCCCAATACCTCACACTCACCAGAGGAGCACATTATTAGAACTGATACCAAAGTCCATAGCTGGTGTGAACAGCCTATGGGTTCATCCAGCTATATAATGTTTGCACCCTTCATAATAGTATCATATATAATATTTTCACTGTCCTAAAATAGCCTCTGTGCTCCAACTCTATCCCCTCCCCCTTTCAACCAACCCATGGAATTCACTGATATATTCACTGCCCTTATAGGGTTTTGTTTTGTTTTGTTTTTCAAATGTCATTTAGCTGGCCTTACAGAGTACATAATCTTTTCAGATTGTTTTCAGCTAATAATATATATAAATTTTGTGTCTTCTCATGGCTTCATATCTCATTGCTTTTTACCACTGAATAATATTCTGTTGTATGAGTGTGCCATGGTTTAACCACTGATCTGTGAAAAAACAGCTTAGTTCAT